CTTTCTGAATGTATTGCTTTCGCGAGGGTCCCTGGAGGTAAAGAGTGTGAATGCCTGAAGAGGGAGAGCTAGGGGAATAGTAAACAGGGCTCTTAATACAATTTTCTTCATGCAGTCCCAGCAGCTCTTTGTTTTGGTGATGGTTTTGATACTAATGGCACCGTTGTAATTAGTGTGCCTGTTTGGGATGCAAAAGGAGGTATGAATCGGTGCAGAGAGTAAGAGGTTTATATTGTATGCATCTGCCCCTTGTTGTATGTACAGTGCAGCCCTGATCTGTCAATGTGCCTCTGCAGCTTATGAAAAATATTCCCTGTAATGCAAAACACCCCCCAAATTATCCAGTAGGTCCAGTAACTCACCCTGTACAAGTCCACCTGCTGTGGAGATTTCCAGATGCAAAATCAGAGGCAGCTGCACAATATCAGGTTGTCCACATGTGGGTGAGTGCAAATCCAAACAGATGAGAACCTCCATCTTCACTGGGATCAAGTGCGTGCCATATTCATGGACTTGCTTATTTGCAGATTCTGTTAAAAAAGATCAATGTACTTAATTTGGGGAATATCGGATGCAAAACCCTAGAGGGTTAGACGCGTAGAAAGGGACAGACTAGGACTTGAGGGTGTCATTTTGTCTGCAGGACACACAGGATGGTGTACGCAGGGGCAGTTATTGCTGCACTAACACAAGTAGCAAGAGATCAATGTACTTGAATGCTACACATTCCCATATGTAGCATGGTCTTGATCCTGATTACCATTATAAATCACAAGTAAGCCTACTCAATCATGGGGAAAACCGGCATGAGGAAAAAGTTAGACCCGAGCTTGACATGCAAAGCACTTGAAGCAGGAACATATCTGAGAGCGCTATTTTCACAGTTAATGTTGCAGAAATTTGCCACCATTTGGTGAGTTGCACAAGTGTAAATAGCAGTCTCCTGGCCAAGGGTCTTCAGTACTGGTTTGGCACTTACATGACTCAGAGGAAGTTCAGCTGTAAACAAAGTCAGTGTTACGAGCAGTTACCATGTTACCATTCACTTTTAGTACAAGGGTCAGATAAATCCCTTTGCAAAATGGCTGCTGGACATGCCTCTTTCCCTGAGCTGGAGTGTTTATTATAATCGTGGCATTCTGAAGATATTGTTACTCTAGCTTCTGTGACCACAGCCGTTATGCTCACTGGCCCAGATCCTCAGTGAGTGTAATTCAGTAGAGCTGTGCTGATTTATACCCACTGAGCATCTAGTCTGTTGAATGCTATCGCTGGTTTCCAAAACACTGCTCTTGGAGCAAGGTATTCCTCAGCTAGAGTAAGGATAACAGAACTGTGATCTGGTTTTGTGATTTTTATTTAGAAAGAGATGGGATGCAGCAAGGTGTGCTGGGTACTAATGCTGTTTGATAGCCCCTGAACCCATGAGATTTCAGAAGCTCCAGTGCAGGTAGACAGAAAGCCCATCCCAGACCTCTTTGTTTTGCTGCTCCCATCCCCCTGTATACAGGATGGTTTTCCCTTCCATCGTAGTATTTAAACTGGTATTTGAGAACAAGGTTCACTACTTTCAGGTAATTTAGAAGTGACTGGGTGTCTAGTGACCAGAGCAGAATGGTGTGGATGCTTTTGGTTCTGCATCTTTAGGCTTGTTGGGGGGAAGGTGGTATTTCCCTATATAACCATAATGATGTAATTATACCATTCCTGCTATATGAGTGTGGCTTGAGAAGTGTTACTTTGGGATAGCTATGCTGGCTAGCCCCTGTCTACACAAACCCTTACGTATACAGAGTCTTTCACAGCTTGGTTCAGATTCCAGATCCATGGGCTTAGAACGAGACCCATGAACACCAAACCACTTCCATAGCACTTGGGACATGTCTACTTAGCAACAGAAAGGTGCTGACTGGCTGTCAGACACCATGTGGAGTGGGGCACTCTCACATGACTGCAGCAGAGAGTTGTTAATTTGTTCTGGTGGTTTTGTTAGCCTGTTTAGAGGCTGTTGTCCAAGAGTTCTTACTTGTGCTCACCCGTAAATGAAAATATACCCATGGCCAGGAAATGGCCATATCCTGGCTGACATGGTTTCACAGTTGTTGGGGGCTGGACTGTGGGCATAGTGGTGTATGTCCATGAAGCTACTCCAGACTCCCTTTGGATTAATTCCTTCACACCAACAGAACTGGCAGTAGTACATGACTGTGGAAGGCCTAGAGGCTAATATCAGCTGGGAACACTTGATAGGAAAAACGCCTTCCACAGTGTGTTGGTCGTGTAACATGCTGTTGTGATGTAAGAACAGTGCTTGGATCCAGTTGTATTTCATGGTGCTTGGGGTGTCCTGTAGACCATGGGGACAACCCTGTCGGACTCAGCAGTTCCAAAAGTGGTGCTAGGTATCTGATATCTGGGGCCGAGAGGAATGTAACCTAGGAGAGCAGGTGCAAGTTGGGTGTGGGAGGGGAAGCAGTTCCAAGGATGTTATTGTTTTAGTGTTAGATGATTGAAGTCTGTAACACATTCAGGCAAGTCTGACAACGGAACCATTGATGCTGTTTCTCAGTCATGGGATCTGGCAGGCTCTGGGAATTGTGTGCTTTGAAGTGAATCTCCAGCAATATCACTAGTACTCTGTTCCCTCCCATTTGATAGGGAACTGAAACACTTTTTTTCTCCCCATGTGTTTGAAGTTTGCTGCAGGGATGTTGTCTTTGTTGCTACAGTTTTGGGGATAAGCTATGTGCCCAAACTAGATTGGGTGTGCCACACACTTCTGGAAGGATGTGGCTGAGGAACTGGTCTAAGTGTTACCATGTCCCCAAGTTCCAGTGTGCACCAGGTGGTGTTAATTATGAGGGTTCAAGAAGGGGCCATAGCTCCACCCAGCCAACAGCAGGGAAGTAAGAAAGGTTTCAGAGAGGCATTTAGAGAGAGTCCATGAGACCGATTGTGAAATACAAGGGAAAATTTGCAAGCATGTCCAGGTCTTGAGTCCTGTTTCTCTTCTGTTTGTCTGAACTGGAGTGTCCATTGAATTCAGGAGGATGACACTGCAGTAGAAGCAGAGTGAGAGGATAATTGGATGTGTGCATATGTGAGAACTTTAGGTCCCCAGCTCAGTCCTGACATCGGTTATTGAATTCTATATTGCTGCCTGCATGCAGAAGCTTGTTGCCCTTTATACCCCCTGCTTCATCCTCTGATCTATTGCTTGCAAATGTAGCCAGTAAGCACCTTGTGGGGATGACAGTTATGGACCTATGGGTAACTCCCGGCCAGGTGCCATTATTGACTTTTGGGGCCCAGAGCAAATAATGCCAAGGTCCTATTTTAACTAGTTACGACTAGGGGGTCACACACTGTGCTGCTTATACAAGCTGAGCTCACTGCACTTAGCAGGGGTGTGCTGCCTGCTGCCATCCCTCATGTTCCCTGGGTACCACCCTCATTTCAGGATCCCCTGTAACACCCTCAGTCTCTCCTTCATTCCATAATGTCAGGGCCTCTGTGGGCCATGTTCTTCCTCTTTCTGCCCCCAGCCCGACAGCAACAGCAGCAGCAGCAGCAGCCACCCA